GCCCCTCCAAACGTCAGAAGGTTGGTCTTGTCCCAGAAAGAAAAGGACAAACAAGAAAACAATCCACTCCACCCACTCTTCGAACAACAGCCAGTGGGCAAGCGGCTCAAATCCAGACACAGCTTTCTGCACTCGGTAGAGCCTCTTAATACTAGCCCTCACAACCAAAGGATGACTTTGTGGTCTAACCACCTTCAGACAACTCCACATAAACTCTCCCTCAGCCCGAAGGAATCCCTCGCAACCGGCTCCAGTGAGACTTGGCCTACCTGGCTTAGCCTCAACCGCCTAAGAACTGGCTACGGTCGATGCAGAGTCCTAATGCAGAGGTGGGGTCTAGGAGACGAACAAACGGCATGTGAATGCGGCCAGGAACAGACAATGGAACACCTGCTAGTCTGCCCACTCCTGCCAGAGCCATGCACCCAAGATGACATGGAAGCCGTTAATTGCCGTGCCAAAGCCTGTGTGGACCACTGGACGGGACTTGTGTAGTGACTCGATAAGAAGAAGAAGAAGAGGTGGTGTTGGCGGGAGTGGTAGTAGTAGTAGTAGTGGTAGTAGTAGTAGTAGTAGCAACAGTAGTAGTAAAAGTGGTAGTGTAACTACTGGTAGTAGTGACACCAGTAGTACTAGTAGTGGTATCAGTTATAGTGGTGGTGGTTATCATAGTAATAGTAGTAGAAGAAGTAATATAGACGAAGTATACATAATAACAGAATAAGTATTAGTAGTAGCAGTCGTAGTAATATTGGTGGTGGTAATGTTAGTAGAAGAAGTTATATAGTAAGAGTAGAAATAGTAGTAGTAGTAGTAGTAGTAGTAGTAGTAGTAGTGGTAGTAGTAGTACTAGTAGTACTTATAGTGGTGGTGGTAGTAAAAGCAGCAGCAGCAGTAGTAGTAGTAGTAGTAGTTGTCGTAGTAGTAGTACGAATAGTAGTAATGGTGGTGTTGGTGGTAGTGGTGGAAGTTGTAGTAGTGGTAGTAGTAGTAGTGGTAGTAGTAGTAGTATCAGTTGAAAAAAATAGTGGTAGTGTAACTACTGGCAGTAGTGACACCAGTAGTACTAGTAATGGTTTCAGTTATAGTGGTGGTGGTAATCATAGTAATAGTAGTAGAAGAATTAGATTAATAGAAGTATACATAATATCAATATAAGTATAAGTAGTAGCAGTAGTAATAATTATGGTGGTGGTAATAGTAGTATAAGTAGTAGAACCTATGTAGAAGAAGAAGTATAATAGTAGAATAAATATAGAAGGAGTAGAAATAGAAGTAGTAGTAGTAGTAGTAGTAATAGTGATGGTTGTGATAGTAGTATTAGTATTAGTAGGATAAGTAGTATAGTAACAGTAAATATAACAATAATAGTAGTAGTGGGAGTTGTACTAGTATTTTTAATAGTAGTAGTAGTAGTAGTAGTAGTAGTAGTAGTAGTAGGAGAAGTAGTCAGGCGCGTACGCAGTTTGGGGGGGGGGTGTACGGTTTTAGGGTTAATTTAATAATCAGCAAATACATTATAAGAGGAGGAAAGAAATGAGAAAATTGGGAGAGATATAGATAAATAAGCCATGTCAAAAATATGAATAGGCATTGTATCACACAGGTTTGAATAAATTGTCCTTGTACATACGTTTAAAGTCATCGATATATTTAGCATTTTGAAGAGCAAAAGGTAAACTATTTCAGATTTTACCACCAGCGTATCTAAAACAATTTATACAACATTCAAGACTAGGCTTGGGTAAAACATCTTCCAACGCATTGGCAAGTCTAGTGTTAAAACCATGTCTGTCAAAAACCATTTCTACTTTATTGCACAATCCTACCGGGACTTTTTCATGAATACAGTTATACATGACACATGCTAAAAATAGTCACGTCTACTATCAATGGATTGCCATTTCAATGAATTCATCATATTCAAGCTATTATTAAACATCATGGTCAAAATTTCGTCCAACAATACGTGATGCTCTTTTCTTTAGTTTTGAACGAATTTGTCTGGTTTGTAAAGAACAGTTCCCCCATCCGGAACAAGAAGAATCAAAGATTTCCTGTGTGGTACATTTGTTCATGTTATTCAAAATGGAAGAGCTTAGAAACTAACTGAGCGTTCGTAAAGTAAAATTCTTATAACTTAACGATTTGCTAAGAGATTTAAAGGTATTACAACATTTCGGTATAGGGTCATGAATTTGGTTCATGTTATAGCCCATTAATGTTGATAGCCCAAAATAATATATGATCAATTTCAATCCCTAAATATCTGATAATTCTCACTTGTTCTACAATTTCATTATCAATATGCACTTTCAGACTAAATGTATTGAATTCGTGTGTTACTACTCATCAGATAACATTACTCTTATTAGTATTAATACGTAATCTATTTTCACAATACTATTCGTGTATAGCATATAGATCTGCTTGGAGCTTAGATGTAATGATATTGATATCCATATCAGAAACATGTAAGACAATATAATCAGCTTATATATTACATGTATTTAACCGTAAATAATCAGTTATATCATTTATTAAAACAAGAAAGAGGGAGGGGCCTACACATTTTCCCAGAGGAATTCCGATAGTAATGTCCTTTGTTTCAGATAGTTTACCATGACAATAAACTGCTTGTTTCCTATTAAATAAAAAACTAGAAAACCATTTACGTTCAGTATCTAAAATCTTAAATACTTATTCATTTTGTGCATCAAAAGTTCATGGTCAATACAATCAAAACATTTAGATTAATGAGGAAAACATGCACCAATATTTTCCTTTTCATTTAAAGATTCCTACCAATCATCAATCTCTATGTTGGCATGAATTAGTTGAATTATTTGGCAAGAAAGCATATTATCAACACTTATAAGATGATTGGTCCGTAATTAATAGTCTTTAGTAGTAGGAGTAGTAGTAGTAGTAGTAGTAGTATAATCTGTAGTAGCAGTAGTAGTAATACTTGTACATATAGTTGGAATAGTGGTAGCAGTGGTAGTAGAGGCATCAGTAATATTATAAGCAACAGCATAATCAGCAGTGTCAGTAATAGTAGTAATAGTAGTAGTAGTAGAATAATTGGTAGTGGAAGTAATAACGGCAGTAGCAGTAACAGTACATGCATTCATTCTATACAACCTACATGTACCCTCTTCCATTGATATATCTTAACATTGGTATATTCAAAGTATTTTATATCCCTTTAGAACAGGGTTTCTTTTTAAAGGGCTAAATTGATCACATTTTCCCCTGAAATATGGCAACGATAATATTTGTTTCTTTGCAGTTGCTCTAAAAAAAGGTGTCTAATCACTTCTTAATTCAAGAAAAAAGGAAACAATATATAACTTTTCATTAAATATCAAATTAAATATTATTTGAGAAAAGAAAAGAAAATATTTGTCAGAATATTGACATAAACATAATAGTGAACTATATGCAGAAGAAATGTCTCTGAAAACAGTTTTTATACGTAAGGTTAATTTTTTTGTTGAAAATGCATTGCATCAAACATAAAAAAGTCATGCAACACAAATACGCATGAGGCGCATACCCCAACCCCATCCCCGCCCTTTCTACACTGTTGCTCATAACGGTGGAATATTTTTTTTTATCCCAATTTATGGAATTATTTTAAAAATAATTTAAAAATACTAGATCTAGATAATAGTATACAGTCTCAGATTTTATTGAATAATAATTTGCCAATATGTGTTTTGCGTGACTGCTAAAGCATGTATATTATGCTACTATGTTTATTAACTAGGGGACCTATGCCCTTAAGTCATAAATGACAGTAATGAGGATTAATGCCTCACAAAAGGGCACTAATATAGCACATCGACACGGTGTTGATCCTGGGGCCTCACAGTTACGAGGCCATTGCTTTGTCACTGAACCATGACTGTACGTAGCGGGGGCTATGGTAGGGGGCAGTTTCCATAAATTAAAAAAAAAACAGAAAATGCAATAAATTTTCAATAATTTATTGCATTCTACCCCGGTCCCCAACATAAAAAAATCTTCTGTGTGCCCATGCCTTGAGCCATAATGCATGGCCGTCCAGAGGATTTTGTTATGTTGGGGACCGGGGTAGAATGCAATAAATTATTGAATATTTATTGCATTTTCTGGGTTTTTTTTAATTTATGGAAACTGCCCCCTACCCTAGCCCCCGCTGCGTACAGTCATGGTTCAGTGACAAAGCAATGGCCTTGTAACTGTAAGGCCCCAGGATCAACACCGTGTCGATGTGCTATATCAGAGCCCTTTTGTGAGGCATTAATCCTCATTACTGTCATTTATGACTTAAGGGCATAGGTCCCCTAGTTGATAAACATAGTAGCATAATATACATGCTTTAGCAGTCACGCAAAACACATATTGGCAAATTATTATTCAATAAAATCTGAGACTGTATACTATTATCTAGATCTAGTATTTTTAAATTATTTTTAAAATAATTCCATAAATTGGGATAAAAAAAAATATTCCACCGTTATGAGCAACAGTGTACTTAATATATTTATGGTATAATTCTAGGGCTCAGAATCAAAAGCAATTTAAAGATAAAGGTGAGTTCTGGTAACGCGATTGCATTGTGAAAGAAAAGGTGTGGAATGCATCAGAAAAAAGTTGATTATGTAGCATGTAAGTATTGGTATGTAAAGTCCGTAAGGTTCTGGAGTCATCAAATTCATAACAAATTTGGCTCGGTCTTGGTAAAGTAACAGGCACACTACACAGAAAGATGTATATGGGACAACACAAATGGTGTCGGGACTAGTACTACTTGATTTCCTTATCTTTCTATGCTCATTACTCAGCCAGTATACATTTTCTTCCAAAATTGGTTGGCACATGACATTTATTTGTAATCTTGAACATTCAGTGTAAGTTTCGTTAGATTCTGTGAGACTTGATTTTCTTTTTTTAACCAGAACTCAAGTTTATCTTTAACCAACGAAAGTGATATGTTGGTAGTATGAACTTACATCAACAGATTTCGCAATGGCTGCAATGCCAAACACTGTACTGCAGAATACAGCCGTGAGGATAGCAAATAGAAGATGGTCATCCGGTTGCTGGCCATATCGTGCCTGCCCAATACCCTGAGCTTGTGGTACCTATAAGTATGACATGTAAGGCAGATAGTATGTGTTCTTGTCTGATTTGGGTGTATTGCATGATCGATCATTATACCGATGCTGCTGATGATAATGATGATGTTAAATAATAGTAATTAAAATGCTTAAAATGCTAATAATACTAGTAATGATGATGATGAACAATAATTATAATAACAAAATAATGATAATAATAATATCAATGATAATAATCAAAATGAAAATGCGTCTACGTGCTTTAAAGTCATTCTGGACGCCCTTCAACAAGATTGAAGGACTGGTGTGATGTGGAATTACCCACACAAGAGGCAGAGCAACAAGCCCAGGACAGAACAGAATGGAGCATGATTTCTCGTAGGGGAGTAAGGGGAAGCACCTTAGCCAGTCAAAGTCAATACAAAGGATAATAAAATATTGATTTTACTATCAATTATACAAACAATTGTAGTGTTAATAATAATGATAGTAATACAAATAAAATCATAATAACTATGACAATACTAACAATAGAGATTATAATAATGTAGATACTAGAAATAATGATTATAATCATGCTGGTTGTAGAGAAAACCAAAACAATTACAACAATAATTTCTTATATTTACCCAGGGTAGCCTCATCAGTATCAATTTAAACGTATTTAGTATTAATCTTAATCATGCTTTGATAGGCCTATTCATTTTTGGGGTAATCCCAATTTTTTTCCTCTATGTTTTCTTACAATTATACTTAAATTATAATTCTTTTATAACTTGTTATTTTTCTGGAATTCTTATCCCCCCAAAACAACCAAAATAAACAAAGAAAATTCATCTCACCTTATTAAAGGTTTGGTCTGTATCTGAGTCATCTAATAATGCATTTCCACTCTCCAGGTCGAGACCTTTCTCCAGTTTCTTGTACTGAGCTGTCAATGAGTACATTCATAGCGAAATTATGTTTAAGATGATACAGAAAACGTTCATAGGTTAGGGAAATTAATAACATAAAGTTCAAAATTCTAGTAATTCCCAGCACTGCAAGGAGTTGTTTGCATCATGTTGGGAGCGATAGAGGGGACATGCAGTAATCTGCAAACAGTCTGGTTGTTGATTTTACCAAATTTTCCTTGGGATCTATCTGCTGGCGCCTATGAAGCAAAGATGACATTCACCGTACTGTGCAGAAATCATGAAAATATAGC